GGAGGTGTTGTTTTAAGATCTGGCCTTGTTTTCTCTTTCTCCTCTCAAGTAACCGGTTTCGTTCCTTATGTCTCTTGTTCAGTAACTGTTAATAAATTGTTTTGTTTTAAGAAGAAAGCCTGAGTCATGTTTTGCCCGGGACCATGGTTGGTGGGTGCTCTCTCTCGGTTCTTGTCTCGACCCTCAGTCAAAAAACCACGACAGCTCGGAATCCAGAGCAGACAGGACTTGTGTGGATAAAAATGTCCCAAGGTTTATGTTTCTAGTGGTTTGGGTTTTTTTTTTTCCCCTCGACCCTGAGTTAGTCACAGATGGTTTTCCCCTCCCTAGAAAGGGAAGGGATGTGGTTCAGTGGTGCAGGCAGGTATTCCCCCATGGTAGGAACTTCCTTGGTGCTCCTGTGATTCAAGAATGACCATTTAAAGTCATGTTTGGGGTTGTTCTGTATTTCTTATTTCGTAGGGAGGTGTGGATAATGCTACCACATCTCTTCATCCAGAATACCATTTCATAAATTCTGCAGAAGGCAGCGTGCACCCAAAGACAGACGTGCTGGCCTGTCACTGAGCTTGCTGTGACTTCCTTGGGTTTCAGTTTGTACGTGCACAGATGTGTTTGTGCTGCTGGTGTGATCCACTTAGGTCCTTGGTCCTGCAAGCGAGCAGCTCTTGTGCAGAAATGTCAAACTTTGATAGTAGAGTGATGAATGTCCCTGCAGCTCTCGTTTCCTGCTATTCCCCTTAGGCTTTCCGTGCCCTCCCCCAGCCTAGCTGGCAGCACCTCTGCAGGAGCTCCCTTCTGATTCTCTGTTCTTTCTGCTTCCTCTCTTCGTCCAGGAAACGCATGTAAAGGGAAATCACACATGGGGTCTGGGAGGAAATCCAGGCTCATGAAGACCGTGCAGACGATGAAGAGCTATGGGAACTACCAGAACTGTACCATAGTGAGGCCACACATCCCGCACAGCTATGGCACATATGTGACGCTGGCTCCCAAAGTGCTGGTGTTCCCTGTCTTCGTGCAGGTAAGTGCAGCTGGAAGCAAGGTGGTACGGATCTAACATGACCAGTGCCCAGCACAGCAGGTTGTGTCAGAGATTGCTGCTGTGGGTTGGGTCCAGGCTGCTGTGCAAGGTGGGTGTATTTCCAGCAGTATATACCATGAATGCATGGATCCCCTGTCATCCTCAGCTCTCTCCTCTGGAGCTGGCTGTGCTCAGCACAGTGCTGGGTGCTTTCTCAAAGGAAATTGTGTCCTGCCCGAGCGATTCTCTGTTGGAGTTTTTGCCCTTTTCAGCTTTTGGTCCTCAGGTGCTTGCTTGAGTCAGGAGAAGGTATCCGAGCTTCTGGGCTTCAGCAACCTATTGAAGATCCATACGGTTTCTTCCTGTGGGTTCTTTGTGCTGTTAATTATAGTGTGCAAACAAAGGTTTTTAGTTTAGCTGGTGGCTGGCACTAAAACCATGGATAAGGATCCAGAGCAGTAATGGCTTGACAGAGAATGTTCTCACTCTCCAGTTCCATAAATGATTTTCTTAAAATTTAGCCCTGAATTTGGTGGTAGTAGCTCTAACTACCTCTGCGTCTTCCATTTTGTCCTTCACGTGGCCAGAACAACAAAGGAACCTCATGTTTAAGTACATAATTGATGAACACCTTCATCTCTGAGACCGTGGGGAACCATCCGTCCTCCCCTGCCAGCAGCAATGGCACTGCCATGTCAGCTCAGCCTGATGATTTCCTTTGGGCTAAAACCCATGATCTGTGCTGTCTGTCGCTCTGGCGTGGGGGCACGTGTGGGGCTCATGCTCACCTCCATCCTCCCCGATGGCAGCCGAGTGCCCGTTCATGTTGGCATCCATGCGTTCCCCAGCCCTGGCTGGGTGCGCACTTCACCTTTTGGTAGGAACACAACTGGCACTTCTGCCTCTTTACTCCCCAAAACTTGTGTCTGGGATTGAGTCTGGGGTGTTTTTGCCACTTCAGGGTTTTTTTTTATGCTTTGCACTGTCTCGTACCACCTCCACCCTCATGTCTGCTGGCCGTGCTGCCTGGGAGGATCATCCTGGGCTGGTTCTGCAGGGTTTGTTCCGCAGCTGGGACAACTGAACCTGTCCTGTTCTTCTCCAGTGTTAAACAGAGAAGGTGCTGAGCGAGGAGCTGAGCGTGCAGCATGGCCTGGGAAGGGGCAGCCTTCTTAAAGTCGCTTTAACTCGCTGCGAGAGTAATCCATAAAATCATGTAGCAAAAATTCTTGTCTGAGGGACGTGAGAACCTAACGTGCCACTGTTGTGGTTGCGTTTCCTGCTAAAAAGCACCCATGACCAAACCCCCGCCGTGCAGAACAGTGAGTGTACAAAGAGGCGAGCGGCTGATGGTCTTTTTATAGATGGGTCTGACGTAGGTGTTAGGTGCAACTTGAGTTTATGGTGGAGCTGGACTGCAAAAGGACTTTCTGTCCCTTTGAACGCAGTGTGGGGTGGCTTCTGCCCGAATGAGTTACAGCTTAAAGCGAAGACAAAGTGGGTTTGGTGGGTGGAAAGTGTTTCTGGCAAACCACACTTCCAGTGGAAGGTTTGACTGTTGCTTTTCTTCCCACTCCCCCCCCTTTTTTTTTTTTTTTCCTTTCAAACGTAGCCCCTAGATCTTTGCAACCCTGCCCGGACTCTGCTTCTGTCAGAGGAGCTGCTTCTTCACGAGAGCAGAAGCAGGACTACACAGGTAGGACTCTCTCCGTGCTCTCTGAGCTTTCTAACCATCCTCTCCTGCAGTCTTACATAGTAGATTGAGAAGGGAGATGTTTTGTTGTGCAGTACTTATATTAATATATGATGTTTGGAAAAACTTGTAGTCAGTTTATCATGGGGTAAACTAAGTAGGAAAACTGCTAGAAATCAACTTTTTTTTCTTGTCTTCATACTCAAAGAAGAAACTCTGTATGGCAAATGCGCGCCGGCCACAGCCTGGCAGTTTTGGCCACCAGCAGCCTCAGAAAGAGGGAGTTAGGGAAATTTTGTGCCAGGTTAGAGAACTAGACAACTTGTTACAGGGGTTTTCAGAAATTTAGTTCCTGAAAACACGTCTTATCCAAATTCCTCTCGTTTTTTCTTGCTTCAACTTCATTTCTGCAATGTTATCGGAGAGCTGTTAAAAATCTGGGGAAACAGCTAAGCGTTGGCTACGTGCTGAACCCATGTGTGTGACAACTTTCAACACCCAAACTGGCAGAGTTTGGATGTGTTGATTACATTTGCTGCTGGCTTCGCTTGCATCCAGCTGTAAAGTCTGCAAAGCTCTGGGATTTGGGGCAGCGGCAGCTGGGGAGCCCAGTCCTGCGTCGCGCACTGGTGCTGGAGGAAACCGCCGTTTCTTTCGGGGCCTTTTCAGAGAACGTCACCACTACACAGAAGAACTTTGTTTTGAATTTAGTTGGAGTGAAGAATGCGTCATCTTCACAGAGCCGTAAAGGAATTTTTATTTGACTAATCTTAGTTTGTGGGTAACACCTTCTGGGTGGCCGACAGCAGAATCCCAGAGACACGTCGTATCGCTGGTCTGTACGGAGCGGTACAAGGTTGTGTCATGTTAAGTGACTCCTCTCTCTCTCTGCTTTTCAACTTGTAATCCATCTCTTGCTTTGACTTGAATCACATTCTTTTTTTCCCCCTGCCAAAGTACATGGAAAAATTGCATGATCAATTAGGAAACTTGTCACTGATTTGTAAATAAAACCCTTCCCCTGCCTGTCCTGCTGGTTTTTGCTGCTCAGGGTCTTCTGGGCACCTGCATGAATGAAAATCAGGTAAACACATGGCTGCATCACACAGCTGTGTCGCGGCGGCTTGGAAATACGGTGGCCAGCCTGAAGCAGGATGCTTCTCCTGGGTGGTTTGGAGTTGCTTGCTTTCAGGGCAGGCTCAGAGGTCTGCAGTAGCGGCCAAATGTGGAATAATTATGAATAACTGATGCCATTTGCAGCCTGGGCGAAGCATGTGTGTGGTGCATGGAGGTGTTCATGTTTAGACAATGGAGAGCCTCAGGACAAGTGTGTTTGGAGGAGGTTTCCTGCTCTGTCTTCAAATGGCCATGTTGGCCACTACAGAGACCTGGTTGTGGGCAGGATTGGAAGGAGGATGTCTCAGGGAAAGGACTCTGTTTGCTTACGATGCTCTTAAGGATGAGCCTGAGGCTGGAAGAGGATTTCCCAGTTGGAGGTGCTGCCAGGAAAGGGCAGGATGCTGTAGGCTGGCCAGGAATGTGAGACAGCATTTGAGAATGATGGTGCCTTGAGGCCATGATGTCTGTGTGAGCCCGGCAGAGGGGCAAGGCAGGAGGTTGTGACTAAGCATAGTGAAAAAATAGAAGCAGTGGATGGCAACAGGCATGTGGCAGCGTGTGCTTTGGAAGGCAGGAGGCTTCCCCGTGATGTGAACCCAGGTGTGGTGCGGAGCCCCATATTGCCAGAAGGTGACAGTTACAAGTAGTGACACGGGGACATCAGCCATGTCACTGGAGAACGGCTTTCTCCTGCCTGCAGTGTGTCACAGGGTCACAGCAGGCTTTGCAGAGCTCCACGGAGTTGGTGCGGGTCTCCGTGGAAAGCCAGAGCCTCCCCAACTGCAGTGGAGCAAGGGTGTCTGCTTTGGTCCTGATGGACTGTGAGATGAGGGAACCTAAACTGCTGAAGCCAGGAAGACCTGTAATGACCTGGAGACGGCAGAGTTTCCCCTGGTACAGAAGGGCTCCGACTTCTCTTTTTGCTGGACTTGAGCTCACTCCCTCTCCAGCCTTCTCTGCTGCCCGAATGGAGGCTGTCGTGTTTCTGATGGGTCTTTCTTGCTCCTTGTGCCTTTCCATTTCCCCACTGCTGCTCCCACCCAACCTCTCTCAAACTGGACCACTGCTCCTGCAGTTTGCAGGACTGTTTCCTGCATGTTACTCTGCTTTGGCTAAACGGCTTGAGAGAGCAGAGCCCAGGTACGGGCGCTGGAGATGGAAGTCCTGTTTAACTTTTTTTTAAAAAAAACAGAGTCTTTTCCCCTTGGCAGTTTCCACGTCAGGCACTGCATCCTCACCACTGAGCAAACTCTCTCCCATCTCCTGAAGGAGTCAACTGATCTCTGGAGGCTTGCCAGGATCTGTCCTTTCCCTGACCTTACCTCTGGTGCAGTCCTTATTCAGGCCTTAATCACATCCTGTCTAGACTTTGTTTCAATTCCCGCTTTTATGGTCTTCTGAAATCCCTCCAGCCTGCGGAGTGCCAGAGGCACCAGCGCGGTGCAGGCGGTTGCGCAGAAGGTGCCCAACGTGGGCATCGTCCTTGTGGGTCTGTCTCTGATGTACCTGGAGGTGACTTTCTAAAGCCCTTCAGAACATGGGCCGTGCTCACCTGCTTCTCAGCTCTCCTTTCTGCCATCCCAGCAGGGTCTGCTGATCAGGATGGACCTCCCTTGAACTCCGAAAGCCCCCAGCTCTGCCAGGGGTCTGGGGGATGTGGACCAGCACACCCAGGTTTTCTGCTCTTCTCTGCAGAGCAAGAGGCTTTTCTCCTGCATCCCAAGTGTTGCACTGCACGTTCCCAGCACTCCTGGCCTGGGACAGGGCTGCCACCTCCCTCTTTCAGTGAGTGGTGAGTTTGGCCAACACAGTGGGTTGACCAGAGCCCTACTCCCTGGCACAGATGTTTCAAGATGTTGTTTTCAGCTTTTTTCAGACACTTTCATTTGGGTGTGAATACCAGAAACCTGCATTTACCTCCTCCCTCCACCACACTGGTCCCACTTACTCTGTCCCTTCTTCACTGCCTCTTAATGTCCTTCTCTTCCTTGTTCTTTACACCGTTTCCCCATCTGCACAGCCACTGCTTATGTGAATGTTTGAGGGTAGGGATGTGACCACTTGAGGTCTTCAGTGCCTGAAGTTCATCGTAGAAGAATATTTGATTCAGGCAAACCAAGGTGAGGTTCAAGGTTGACAGCAAAAGCCTTCACCCTGGATCTCCTTTTGGCAAGTGCGGTTGTGTATCTTCATCAAAGTCTAGCTGAGCTATAAACTCCTTCCTGAGTGTAGAAATTCCTCGCCAATAATCTTGGGAGAAAAAAGGTGTGAGGCAGTAAAAGAGGGTAAGTGCTTTGTGGGCTAAGACTGCTGGGAAGTCTGGGAGAACATGCATTTCCTGTGGATACATGCGGCAGTAAAAAGCCAGGAGCAAAGGAGCAGGTTATGCTTAGAGAGTTGGGGCTGTGGCATGGAAAGCAATGACTCAAAGGCTCTAGTGGATCACTGAGGAGTGGTAAAGTTTCCCTGACCTGGGGGGCTCCTGCCCATCTCCCAGGTGCTGTGTCTGTGTACGTGCACCTACCCCACCTGCGCAGCCTGGACTGCTGCTCCGTTTAGACCGGGGCTCAGCTCTCTGCGATGCTCATGTACGGAGCTGTGATGGCTGGATTACTTTTAATCACGTTCTCCTGTTGCACTGGTCTCTGTGGAAACTGAGTAACTGCCAGTGCAAAGCTGTGGCCAAGAAAACTATGCCTTGGTACCATCAGGGGAGCACTGAAGAGAAGTGCCTGGGTGGTGTCACCCTGTATGTGGGGAGCTGTGTCGTTCTTCGTCTGCTGAGTCCAGCAGTGATGTCTGCTTCATAGAGGATACTGAGAATTTGGATGGTCTCACAAGAGGGCTATCAGGATAAATCAAGATCTGAACAAATTGAGGGAGATGCATCAATTTGAGGGAGAAGGCATCATCCATTTAGCTCAACTGAATGAATGGGGACACATGAACTCTGCAGTTACAACCCTCGTACTGGTATCACTGGAGTTTCTCTTTGAAGTTGGACCCAATTCTTCTGGAGAAGAATCTGGTACTGGTAAATAGAGAAATGTGTGTGGCTTAGTCCTAGGAGTATAGTCCTAGGACCTGTCTTAAGATCTGCCCTCCAAGGATTATAGGTTTTCTGCAGCCAGCGACAGGCAGCATTCTCTGGCCAGTGATGCAGAGGACCATCACCATGTTTTGCTTTGGCATCTGAAAGCTCTATCACGAAAGACCTGCCTCTGCTTCACGCTGCTTCCTCTGCTCCCTCTGTGCCCCTGGGCACGACTATGAGACTGCTGCCAGCGAGCGAGAGGGTGATGTCTCAGAAGGCATCCACTGGCTCAGGCTTTTCCTGCCAGGCGCCGGGGTGAGCGGGCAGGGCTGGCACCGGGAGAGGGCAGGGTTCGGAGGACGGTTAACTGTTCTGAAGGGCGAATGTAAAGATATTTGGCTGCAAGGCTTAGTTTCTGGGCACCTTTTCATAATGTTTTTATTACCGTATTTTGCTTTGCCAGGTGTGATTATGGCTTCCCCCTTCCCGTGGTGGGGCTCTGTGGCAGTCGCGGTGTTGATCTCCCGTTCTCATCTTGGCAAAGGACACTAACCCACCACTTTCCACCTTCTCTCTGGCTTTCATTTTCTCTTGGTTTCTTTTAGGAAACACTTGAAATGTGCCCCTTCCTTCTCTAACAATGTTTTTGCAGTTACGTTCTGTAGTTGGTCAGACGTACCAGCAGAAGAGGCTCTGGTGCAGAGCACACCCAGATGAACAGTGTCTGAGACATCAGTGTCAGCCTCTATGAACATTTCTTTCCACCCCCCGCCCCATAAAATCTGTTTCAGCCAGCTGAAAATCTGAAAATCTGTTTCACAGCCCCCTGAAAATCTGTTCACAGCCCCCTGAAGGGTCTGTGTGGTCACTCCGGTGATAACAGCGGTGTGCCTGTCTCCGTCTTCAGAGGAGTCCTTTCATCGTGCCAGTTGCTTTATTTCTGATTTTGGGGTAGGAAATCAGTTCTAGGAAATACACAAAGATCCTCTCACTCTCTAGGGAGCACCTCTGGTGGATTCCATGCCTTGCCTGGCTGAGTTCAGGCGCTGTGTTTCTTTTTCGTTTGTTCTTTTGCTTTCATGAGCCCGGTGATATTTTTTTTTCCATGGTAGATACCAGATCTGTTTGCAAAGGGCTGTTAGAGACAAGTTAGAGCTTGCCAGCGGTGCGGTGGCAACCTTAGGCAGAGCTCCAGATCACTCGCTCCCGCCCTCCCTCACATACCTGCTGGCTGCTGCCTTAGGGTCATCCATGATTCGAGTTTCCCGTGCTCAGCTCCGCAGGTGGGGCAAGTGCTGTGTCCCGCAGAGCTGATCCCGCTCCCACCTCTGCAAGCAGAGTCTGCTGGAGCCTTGGGATGCTCTTGGCAGGCTCTGACTGCAGGGGAGAAGGGACACCCTTGTCTGCTTCCCCCAGCAACCTGGAGGAGCAGAGGAACCTCTATAAACCGTTTTGTGTGGAGCTGCTCTAAAATGAAGTGGCTTCCTGGAAGCAGCATCCAGTAGAGATGCTCTTACGTAACCCACGCTGGCTGCACTTTTATCTTCTCCACATCCAGAATTCAATCAGTCCCGTCTTCCCATAAAAGCACAATGTTCCCTGTAAATACTTTTTGTGTATTTCTGTTTCCACAATTCCCTATTTGAATCTGATTTTGAAGTGATTTTTTTTCCTGCTGATCCTTCTAATCATTTTTCTACCCTTTAAACTTCCGTGTGTATTAGGTCTTCATTTTCTTCTCTTTATTTCCAGCATGACCACTTGCTGATCACGTTTTTCTTTCCTTCACTTTGAGTTGCTCTTCTCAAAACCCCTGAACGTCTCTTCTTCAAGGTTGAGGGACCTGGGATGGCAACAGACATGTCTCAGAAAAATGACCTTTTGGAACAAGATGGACATGGGAGAAAGTTTATAGTGCAGTTTGTACTTTGTTATTCCTTGTATTAATGATAAGGTCAGAAGTAATGAAGAGGGTGAATGTGGGCATGAGGCCAACAGTGTGTTGAGAGAAGAGGAAGGGATTTTCTAAATAATACAGAGGAAAACAGACACTCCCTGGTTTCGTTATCCATTAAAGCTATGCCAGTAGCTTCGTACTTATTAAGGATCCCACAAAAATGCATGTGCACAGTGAGGAGAAATCTTGCGGCAAGGGCTTGATTTTGGTTTCAAAGCCAGATGCTGCTGCCTGGATGTGGGACTCACCACTGTGTGACAAACTGTTACTCAGCTGCTCCTCCTCCTCCTGACGTGTGCCCGTCAGCCGCTGGGCATGGGACAAACCCTACTGGCAGCACGTCCCTGTGAGCAGTGACTCAGTCCCTGCCCAGAGCAAAACCACCTTTCCAGGGGTGATTGGGTGGTGGCAGCGGTGCCAGCTCCCAGTAAGCCCCTGGGATGCTGCGTTGTTTTCTGTTTTTGTGAAAGAGTCGCTGAAAGGTGGCAAAACCTTCGTTGCTGTTGCTCAGTGTTGCAAAGCAGCTTTCCTTTTGCTGCGGGAGGTTTTTCGGGAGCATCCCAAGGAGAGGTTAAAAGCAGCCACATGCTCATGCGCTGCATCCTGAGCAGCACGTGGTTTGGCAGGATGCAGAAGGTCCAGCATCTGATGTATCCACTTGGCACGTTGCAGCTACTTTCTGGCATCTTCTAAGTTTTGCTGTATGCCCTCAACTCCTGCTGGAGAGCAGGACGGCCTCAGACCTCGGCTACTGACATAGGGATTGCACCAGTAGACTTCTGGGTCAAGGATCTCCGGTACAGTGGAGAAGTTCATTCTTCTTATTTTAACGATCACACTAATCTGTACTGATTGAACTAGGGACTGCAGGCAAGAGCCAGAAGCAGAACAAGATCTGCCTTTTGAGTTGTGAGCACTTCCCACTGCTCTGGAGTAGCTCCCAGCTTCTGGGACACTCGAGTCACTGCCCAAGCCCCGAGCTGGGCAGACATTCAGTTCAGCATTTGCTTTCCACCCACCATCAGCATGGTTTAAAGGTGTCAAGTTTGTTCCCCACAGCCGCTCTTGTGCGTTCCGCTGTTGTAAAAGCCGAACTGTTACTTCCTCAAAGGGAGCAAAACGGGGCGTGCGAAGACGGAGAACAGTGAGAAGCTCCTTTGTGAGTGTGTTCAGGGGATCCCGTTTGCTTTTAGGCTGCAACTTGTACAGTGTGCTGGGATTAGTCAGAAACTTATTCCCTCCTCCTGCTCCTCTGATTTATAACTTCTGTAAATGGGAAGTGACACGAGAGAGCAGAGAGGGTGTGTTTGGTGTTCAGCTGTTTGGCAGGTTTACCCCCCTTGTCACGGGACTCCACGAGCCTTGGTGGGTGGCTGCCAAGCTGGAGGAGCCTCGTCCAAAGCTTGCTGGGAGCACCCTGAGGGTTGTAGCAGCAATCAGCTCCTTAGGAAGGGGGTGCCTGGGCTGCCTGTCATGGCTGGTGCATCCCCCCAGGGTAGAGAGGACCTTTCCAGGGCACTGTCTCAATGATATGAATTCCTTATAGCTGCTTCTTTGCTGCTTTTGTGCTTCCAGGTGACCCTCTTTGTCTACTCCGACCTGCTGCTCTTCACCAAGGAGGATGAGCCTGGGCGCTGCAACGTGCTGAGGAACCCTCTCTACCTGCAGAGTGTCAAGCTCCAGGAGGGTGAGTGTCTGCAGCAGCAGCTGGAGACATGTGGGGTGTTTTCTGGGCCACTAGCTATAAAGGTTTCTGGCCAGCGGCAGGACAGCACCTCACCATTGCTTCCAGTTTGGAACAGTACCATACGACTGGTGCTGCCAGATCATCCTCCTTGGGGTGCAGGGCCAGCATCACCCTTCCCATCCCTGCGTTAATGCAGTCCCTGTGAACTCTATCTCCTGGGACACCTCGGGACACTCGGGTGCCACCACTTCCCAGGGCTTTTTGGGTGCCTCTCTCAGGGATTTTGGGCTGGTGATCCCCAGGGTCTTGCCGTGCTGGGCTGCTCCCCTCGCTGTGTTACGCTGCCTGCAGCGGGGGCTTGCCGAGGCTGAGAAAGGGAAGTCTTGAGGTTTCCCTCATGGTGTCTCAAGAGAGTTCAGAGGTTGTCTCCAAGGCAGACTAGCTGAGCCCTGCTGACCTTTACTTTGCTACTTCTCCCTTCAACCGCCCACGGTTTTCCCCCGTGCTAGCATCCCTCCCCCATGCACACCCCACTGGTGAGGAAAAACCAAATGCTGACCTTGGTGGGAGGCTGTGGACCATGCCCTTACTCTCTTTGCCTCGTCTGGGCTTTCATGTCCAGCTGAGGGCTCAGGGAGGGCTTCTAGGGTGGGGGGATGCCTTGAAATCAGTTATTTCAAGTTGAAACGCAGAGGCTGTGTAAAGGATGGCCTTTAGCTAGTCATGGTCAAGAGGAACAAACGAATTGCTCTGCCACATCCTATTTGCTGTGGTGAAGTCACTTCTTGGCCTCGGGCCCAGTCCCACCTTCCTGCTTCTTTGGTGCGGTCTCTCTTTGGGTATGGGTTCCTTTTATGTACAGTTGCCCGACTGCGTCAGCGCGGGGCTGGTGCTCTGACTCCTCTCGAGCCCCGCTGGAACGGGACCCAGCATGGGAAATTGTGATTAGGTGTAAGGAAAAACTTTTCTAGGGCGAGGCTGGGCAAATATTAAGTTGCCTAGAGAGGTTGTGGAACCTCCATCCCTGGAGGTGTTTAGGATTTGGCTGGGCATGGCCCTGAGCGCCCTGGTCTGGGTGCTTTGGGCAGGGGCTTGGGCTAGAGCTCACTGGAGAGGCCCCTTCCAGCGCAAGTGACTCTGTCACTGTATGACCTGACGTCTTTATGGAGTCCTGTGGCCCTGACTGAAAGGCATTAATCCAGTTCCGGGCTGCTTCTCCAAAGGGATCATTTTCTGGATGAATTTTGCCACATCCCATGACTTTCCCCAGCCAAGCTTTGAGCTCTGTGGATGAGCTACATCTCCCCCTGTGCCCCACGTTGTTGTGACCTGCAGTGCTGGGGATCTGTGATGCTGTGTCAGACACCACAAGCTGCCTCTCAGTTGTTATTTCCCATTTCCAACAACGTTTCTGCTCCCAGATTAATTTGCTGACCTGTGTGGTGAGGGCAGAAACTCAGTGAGGGAGATAGGACACCATGGCATGAGACATTTAGAAAAGCCATTGAAGCTTCCCTGGCCTTTGAGTTTGTTTTCAGTTCTGCTTATTTCTAAGAAATGGACAAAAATTGTTTGGTGTCAAAGTGCTTGTTGGTTGACGTCTGCTCCCAGTGCGCGTGCCGCCGCGGTGCTCTCAAAGGCTGTTGAATAACCTGCTCTTGTTCACCATATTGAAGAAATCAGCTTCCCCAGTGCTGGTCCCAGCACCGTGCACGAAGGTCTGTTTGCAGCTCGGCGCAGGAACGCGCCTCCTAACCTCAGGCAGAGCGGTTGGATTTTGTGAGTTGTTTTCTGCCGCTTATTTCCTTGTTGCCGTAATAACTCGGCTGGATCACTAAAAAAAAGCCTCTCCGAAGGGGATGTTTTTCTCTGTGGCACCGAACTGCCCCCCGTACACCGGGAATCCAGCACGGTCGGTTTTCAGGCAGCTCACCCCCCTGACGTGGGCAGTGGAACAAGCAAAAAGATGCCTGTCCCTTTTGGCAGGGATTTTTCTGTTGGTCTCTGAAGTAACTGAATGGCACATTAATAGGAACAGGCGTATTGCTGAGTATAACAATTGAGACATCTCCGGTACGCCGAAGACCATTGTGATGTTTCCTGTTTCTGCCGCTCGCTGCACTGTGCGAAAGCAAATCAGTATAATCTGCTTTACAATGCTCCGTCTTCCTGCTTTAGAAGCCGAGCGTGGCTGATGAGCACCGCGCCGGCCAGCCTTTCCAGTGCCGCAGGGCTGGCTTCCTCGCTAGATGCTGGGGGAATTTCCATGCGGAGGTCGCCGCCTCGCTGGGATCCCGGCCCCCCTGGGTGGGTGCGCTCGGGGCTTTGGGACAGAGAAGAGCGCTGCTGTTTCACAGCTGGAATGAGGACCCACGGGCTCTGAGCCCCATCCCCAGCCTGTCCTGCAAACAAGGACTTCTCGTGTGCTGCTTTGCTGTCCGTGACATCCCAACCTGCTGCATCTTACAGCTCCAAGATAATCAGAGGCCAATGATGTGATTTATGACCCTTCTGCCCTGCCACAGCTTCTCCCTGCTGTCTCAGAGATGCTGGGCAGCACCCAGGGCTTGCACCCTGCCACACCTCCCCAGGGACATGTGTCACAGAGGGTGACAACCTCGTCCCCTCTTGGCAGCCAGGTTCAGATGTGCACAACAGCCTTTATCTCTCCCCACACACCCAGGGCCCTGCAGAACCCTGCCCTGGGAGCACCCTTTGGGTGCCCGATGCGGTCCCATCCTTGCTGTGCATATGTGAGGGGCTGGGGAGCAGCATGCCCGCCCTCGCCAGGGGCATCGCCACAGTCCCCTGGGCCGTGCAAGGAGGCTGGAGAAAGGAGCAGGACCATCTTCCCTCTTTCTCCCATCTCTGATCCTACGCCCGGCACATACCACCCAAATCCTGCAAGCAGTGGGTGTTTCCCTTGGGTTGCATGAGGCAGCGCTGGAAGCTGCTGCTGTGCCCGGGAGCTGTGTCAGTGCCTGCGCCGTGTGTCAGCACGGGCACACGGGATGAGGCTTCGCTGGAGAGGGGGACGTGTCCCCACAAACCTCACGCCCTCCTCTTGCCTGTGCTGAGCACAAGCCGCAGCCCAGCCCTGGGGCAGGGATGAGCTGAGTTACCCTGGCAGAGAAGCCTGTCCCCGTCACAACGCATCAGGAAGAAACTGAAATATCTTAAAGTGAGGGTTTTTTTTTCTCCTCCTGCTTATTTCCTTCCAGCCTTTCACTAAATTTGGCTGAGTATGTGCTGTTCACTGTCAAAAAAGCTGCGGACGTAGCGCCGAGTGGGGAGCAGAGCCCTGGCTTAGCCCAGGCTGCCGGCTGCCTGGCGCGAGGCTGTGCCTCTGCCCTCATCTCGCGGGGTCTCCATGGTCTGCGGTGCTGGAGATTGGATGGTTCTGGGGCACAGCAGGCTCCGGCACGCCAGCCTGACCCTCCAGAGACTGGAAAAAGCTCCAGTGGAAGAAATCCCAACAAACCTGGTTTGTGCTGAAATCCATGCTCGTCTCTGCCGTTCCTGGCTCTGCTATCGCTCTCCTGCCTCCTCCTGCGCCA